ATAATTTGTTGAACGTAAAACTGATGGCCTTGTCTGTAAACCTTCACTCAATTCATAATAAAAAGTAAAAATACATATATATTAAATATTTATGAGATCTGATGGACAAAACCAAGTCCCGGTGTGATGCTATAGGACAAATGCTGAACTGTGAACTGCAAGGTTGGCAGTTCAACCTCACCAGTCACTCCTCAGAAACCCTATACAGGATTGCTATGAATCAGAATCAACTCACAGATATCTAACAACAACAAAAATAGACAAATCCAGGTCTTTGGTAAAAATTCTACACAAAACAGTACAGGAAACAATTGAGCTAACAAATAAAAAGAAAGACAGAAAATGATACACATGGCTCTTCTTGGAATGGGTCTCTTGAGTTCTTTGATTATTCTTGTGATCCCCTCTGCAGAATGAAGCACAATATTATACCAAAACAGTACTTAAAAGAACTATTTATTGGTGCACTGAGAGTTGATTAAAGGATGATAAACAATGTCATGAGTTACCTTTGTGATGATGATAAAGACAGTGAAACCCTGTGGAAAATGGTTTATGACAAAATAATGGGAGAGGTGTTTTTTCCCTTAGATGTACAAAAACATTGTTGAGTCAATTCCAACTCACAGCAACCCCATGTGTTATCAAAGCAAACTGTTCCATAGGGTTGTTCTTGGCTGTCATCTTTAAGAAGCAGATTGCTAGACTTTTGTTTATGACATGGCTTGGTGGATTTGGACCACTAAACTTTAGGTAGATAGCTGAATTCAAAGCATTTATACTTCCCAGAAACCATTGGGAAAAACTTAAAAGGTACATCAAAAAGATTTGAAGAAAATAAGTCAAAATTTTTAAAAAGGTTCTGAAGTAAATAAGGTATATATATTTAAATATTTGCAAGCATATTTGTCTTTAAATTATTTTTCATAATATTTACATAACATTGGTGGTGGTGACTGGTAAATTCAAACTACTGGACTGTGGTTAGTAGTCCAGCTCTTAATCCACTGAACTATCAGGGTTCCTGGATACAACATTAATAATGTGAAAAAGTTAGTTTTATGGAGAATTTTAGGAACTTGGTAGCAGAAGGACAAAACTTTTGAAAGTTAGAATACTAATGTAACAGTGTGTCAGGGAACCCTGGAATTTGGGAAGATTTATAGGCAATTTCTGCAATCCTGGATTTATAGAAAACACATTTCAAGCACTTGCTGAAAGTTACTTAATTATGGTAGACAAAAGTCCTGAAGCTAAATAACAGTAATAATAAAAAATGTAAATACTACAAGATTGATTACTGATGACTGGGAACTGCTCTAGAAGAGAAGTTGTTCAAGGTTAAGAACAAATGATGAACTTTAGGACCAAGATTTATCAGTGAAAACTGGCAAAATCATATAGCTGATAGATCCCTTCAAACTACCATTCTTTTGTCATAGGGATGGTGGAAAGGCCTCAGCCTTTCATTTTAAATCATGATGAAAATTATTCCATAAAGTTCCTTTTCTTTGTTGTTATGTGCTGTCGAGTTGGTTCTGACTCGTGGAGACTCTATATAGGCTTTCCCAAGAGAGCTGTGGATTTGAACTGTCACCATAATCAAAAGTGGAAACACCTTGTCCTTGTGAGAGATGTCACAATATTACAGTGTCAGTTACAGTCTGGCTTTACTCATACTTCAGTTTCCTAATCTTCTAGAATTTTATATTTACAAATAATGATCTTGAGTTTACGTCTTTATATTAGTGTTTTGGCTATTATTCTCTAATTAAAAGAAAAAGACTTAAAAGTCACATGACTCATCTATCCAATTATTTTTCCAGCATACTACAATCATATCCATGAGAATTAGACTATTCAGAAAGGTGACTCAATAAACACAGGTTTGAAAAAGAAGGGAACGTATTTACATAGCTCATATGAACCACAACCAAGAAAATTTAATGGTGATGATATAGAAAAATATACATACTGAACCTATAATAAATTAATTATAAGAATACCTTCATCAAGAACATAATCATAGGAGTGTCCTTTCAGGAACAAACACAAAAAGATTGCAGCTATATCCTGATATGGTAGAGGCTCATGTTTACTCCAAAGTGCAGTAACGCCATACGATAAGCAGTGGATTGTGAACCGCAAGGTCCAGGATTCAATCCCATCAGCTACTCTTCAAGAGAAAGATGAGGCTTTCTGCTCCCACAAAGATTTCTAGGTTCATCTTTACATGATTCAGGGTTGCTATGAGTCGAAACTGACTCAACACCACTAAACAACTACAATATGTTAACTCCATTTTACACAGAAAATTAACAAGATAAAAAGGCTCTTGCACAACACATGAGTTAGTGACCAAGATCTCCCTTCTCAGTATCAACGTTCCTATCCTCATAATGGTGATATTGGTGTTGTTAGATGCCATAGAATCTCAATTCCAACCAACAGTGATCCTATGTACTACAAAACAAAAGGCTACCCAGTCGCACAATTATTGCTGTGTTTGAGTCCTTTGTTGCAGCCACTGTGTTAACCCATTTCATAGAGGGCCTTCCTCTTTTTCATCTATTTTACCCTAATGGCACTGTGGGTTAGGTGCTGGATTGTTAACTACAATACTGGTAATTCAAACCCACCAGTTGCTCTATGGGAGAAAAGTAAGGCTACCTGCTTCCATAAACATTTACCATCTTGGTAAGATTGAGTTGGGTTTGGTTCTACTTTACTATGCATGAAGTCCTTCTCCAGAGACAAATCCATTCTGTAACCATATTCAAAGCTTGCTACCCTCCCTCCTAAGGATCATTCTGGTTACACTTTTCCAAGAAAGATTTGTTTATTCTTCAGGCAGTTCATGGCATATTCAGCATTCTTCATCTCAACACCATTAATTCAAAGGCATCAATTCTCAGGTCTTCCTTATTCATGCTTTCACATGCAAATGAGGCTAATGAAAATACCATGGCTTGAATCAGACATACCTTAATCTTCAATATGACATTTTTGCTGTTTAACACTTTAAAGAGATATTTTGCAACAGATTTGCCCAACACAATATTTTGTTTGAGTTCTTGACTGTTGCTTCCATGGGCATTGATTGTGGATCCAACTAAAATGAAATCCTTGACAACTTCAATCTTTTCTCCATTTTCTTGGTATTGGTTATTGGTCCAGCTATAAAGATTTTTGTGTTCTTTACATGGAGGTGTAATCCACACTGAAGTCTGTAGTCTTGGATCTTCATCAAAAGTACTACAAGATGTTTTCAGCCAGCAAGTTTGTGTCATTTGCATATCTCAGATTGTTAATGAGCCTTCTTCCAATCTTGATGTCACATTCTTTTATATAGTCCAGTTGCTTGGATTATTTGCTCAGCATACAAATTGAATAAATATGGTGAAAGATAAAAGCCGGACACACACCTTTCCTGATTTTAAACCACACACACACACACACACACACACACACACATACCCTCGTACTCTTTGAACGACTACTTCTCAGTTTGTGTACAGGTTCTGCATGTTCCAGAGCACAACTAAGTGTGCTAGAATTCATATGCATCACAAATTTATCCATAATTTGTTATTATCCCCATAGCCTCATGTAACTGTATATTCAATAAAACACAAGAAAATGTCTTTCTGGTATTCTCTATTTTCCTTTGGCATCAGCAGCAATATCCCTTGTTCCTTGACCTCTTCTGAATCCAGCTGGAATTTCTGGTAGTTCCACGTCATGTATAGCTACAACCAATTTTTAATTATCTTCTACAAATTTTTACTTGTGTGCAATAATAACAATCTTGTTCAGTAATTTACACATTAGACTATTTAGAAAAGTGACTCAAATAAACACAGGTTTTAAAAAGAAGAGAATGTATTTACATAGCTCACATTAACCACAACCAAGAAAATTTAATTGTGATGATATAGAAAAAAACATATATTTTACCTACAATAAATTATTTATGAGGATACCTTCATTAAGATTAAATCATAGGGCTATCCTTTTAAGAATACACACAACAATATCACAGCTATATTCTGATATCCTGATATGGTATGGTATGAGTCAGAACCTCTCTTTGGAATGGGCCCAAATATGAATCTATTCCTGTTGCTTGGTCAGATAGCTAGGTGCCTTCCAAATTTCTTGGCAAAAATTAGCGAGCACTTCAGGCACTTCATCCAATTGCTAAAACATCTCAATATTTAATCCATCACAATTCATACAATGAGCAAAAAATGTCATGATGGCTAAGGGTAAAACACATGGGAAGTCTCTGTAAAAGTGATTCACAAATAGTTGTTGTTTTTAACTGCCTTTGAATTAGTTATAGACTCATAGAAACCTGTATAGAATTTCCAAGGACCAGTTGATGGGTTTCAACTGCCAATCTCATGGTTAAGAGTACACTGCTTATCCTACAGTGCCACACCAGGATCCCTCACAAATAGCACTCAAGAAATTTTATGTACTAATATGTAGTATTATTTTGGATACATTGTCAGGAGGGATCAGTTCCTGGGGAAGGACATCATCTTGGAAAAGTCAAAGGTCAGAGAGCAAGAGGAAGACCCCCAACAAGATAAACTGACACAGTGGCTGCCTCATGGGCTCAAACAGAACAACAATTGTGAGAATGACACAGGACTGTGCAGTGTTTCATTCTGCTGTGCATGTTGTTGTTGTTGTTACGTGCCATTGACTTGGTTCAGACTCATAGCAACCCTGGATAGGTTTTCTGAGGACTAGCTGGTGAACTTGAACCACCGACCTTGTGGTTCAAACCGACTTTGCACTCCAATGCATTAGCCCACAATGCAGGTTAGCATAAATTGGAACCAACTCTACCACAAGGACATTTTAAGGACATCGTATTTTCACATTTTCTATTTCTAAATTAAGGCCTGAAGCCTTAATTTAGAAATAGAAAATGTGAAAATATAAGGGAAAATTATGGTTGGAAACTGTATTCTCTGCATTATACATACCTGCAGCAATATATGATCCTCCTCCAGCTTTATACAGGAAATGGCTGGCAAAGGGGGCTGCACAGATGATCAGAAAGCTTGCAGTCACAACAGTAACCACGCCCAGAAGCATCAGCACTGCCCAGAAACCACGGTAAACTGGAGACCCCAGAAGAATAGGAGAAAAGAAAAAACACACTGAGAAAGTGAATGAACAAACTATCACACAGTAAGCTTTTTTCTTCTTCATTTTTCTAATTACAGTCATAGAGTGTCAAGCAGAATGCTAGAGCATGGGCCTTCAATTACTTTAAACAAGGATCATATCAACTAATCATGGAGTCAATGATGTTGACCATTGGCTCCTCATGCTCAATACTTGCCCCATACACATGCTGATATACTTGGGAAGCTCTTTTTTTCTGAAAGATTTCCCATTTTAGAAGTTTGAACACCCAAAGCCCTAGAAAGAATTGTCTAAAGTAAATATCCAGTGGCCACATTTAGCTGTTACACATCAAATGCAGAAAGATATGAAAAGGCATTCAAATTATTTACAAATGCAGCTTCATGTTTCCTGTTAACATAATATTTACACCACAGGGATCTTTGGGAAGCAGATCATAATCACTTCAACCTTCTAATGAAAAAGTGCACTTTGATTTAGATTATGATTTTCTTGAAAATAGTCGAAGCCAAAAAAAGAATGACAAGCAAAACAAACATATGTTTGAGAAGATTTAAGATATTATACCAAATATGTTCAAGGCATACTAGTTTTGTTTATTCTTGTATTTGGAATGGTTCAAAATGAAAAGCTGTAAGCGTCTTTGTTAAGGACAAACAAGGATAGTTAGTGGATGCTGTCATTGATAAATGGATTTGGGTCTTGGTGCTATATTGTAATTAAATAAAAAGGAATTCTAATGAACATTTTTGAGTCGAATAATTACAAATCTATTAAACAAATTCATCATTTCCCAAAGGCTAATACATTAAAATAAATTTTTCTTGCTGGTGTAAATGGGAGAAAATTAATAAAACGTATTTGTTGTTGTTGTTGTGGGCAGTTATGTCAAATTTTTAAGGAAAGTATAGAAAGTTTATAGAAAAGCAATGAATAATATTTATTGAAAAATTCACCTGGTAAAGAAGAAATATATTAATTACCTGGGATATTAAATAAAGAAAAGAATATGAAAAGATGAAATTTTGAGAAGAATTTAATTGGAGTTAAACAAGAAAGGAAAGTCAGAATTTATGAGTGAGTAACTATCTCAATAGAATTGGCCATAATGATGTGAATGGAGCCAACCTTAGTGACCTTTATTTACTGATGAGACACAACTCAAAATAAGAAGAAACAGACACAAACAGCCATTAATACTCAGAACATGGAATGGAAGAAGTATGAATCGAGGAAATCTGGAAGCCTTCAAAATGATATGGAACATAGAAAGATCAATATTCTAGGCTTTAGTGAACTGAAATGCACTGGTATTAGCCATTTTGAGCCAGACAATCACACGGTTTACTATGACAGGAGCAACAACTTGAAGAGCAAATGCATCACATTCATTATAAAAAAGACCACTTCAAGATTTATCATGAAGAACAATGCTGTCTCTGATAAGATAATATTTCTACACCTAGAAGGAAGACCAGTTACTACTACTATTATTCAAATTTATACACCAACCATAAAAGTCAGTGATGATGATAATGAAACTGAAGAATTCTACCAATGTCTTCAGTCTGAAATTGATCAAACATGCAATCAAAAAACAATGATACGGTAATTGGAATATGAAGCTTGAAAACAGAGAAGAAGGAACAGTAGTTGGAAAGTAAGGCCTTGGTGATAGAAATTATTCTGGAGACCACATGATAGAATTTTGCAAAATCAACAACTTATTCATTGCAAATATCTTTTTTCAACAACATGAAAAGTGACTATAGACATGGGAGGATTCCTGGTGTATTGATGTAGGATCAGCACTGGACTTCGAACTACAAGGTTGGTGGTTCAAATTCACCAGCTGCTCTTTAGGAAGCCTATAAAGAGTTGCTATGACTCATAACCAACTTGACAACACTTAACAACAACAACATAGCTTTGGAACTCACAAGAATCAAACTGACTGCAACTGTGGAAAAAGACAATATAGACGCTCAATTATCATCAGCCAAAGCATGGCAACAGGATTGCAGAAAGACTCATTAACAACCTGAGATATGCAGCCTTGTTTTCTGGGAGCAAAGAGGACTTGAAACACTTATTGATGCAGATCAAAGACCATACCTTTCAGTATGAACTGCACCTCAGAGTAAAGAAAATAAAAATTCTCAAACTGAACCAATAAATAACATCTTGATAAATGGAGAAAAGACTGAAGTTGCAAAGACTTCATTTGTTTAGATCTAGAATCAATACTCATGGAAGCAGCAGTCAAACCATCCAATGACATATTGCATTAGGCAAATCTGCTGCAGAGGACTTCTTTAAAGTGTTCAGGAGCAAAGATGTCAGTGTGAGGACTACGGTGTGCCTGGAATTTTCAATAGCTTCATATGCATTTGGAAATTGGACAATGAATAAGGGAAACTGGAGAAGAACAAACAAATCTGTCCTGGTGGAAGTATAACCAAAATTCTCCTTAGAAGTGAAGATGTTGAGACTTTGTCTCTCATACTTGGAATATGTTGTCAGGAGGGACCAGTCCCTGGAAAAGGACACCATGCTTAGTACAGTGGTGACAGCAATGGGCTCAAACAGAAGAGCAATTTAGAGGCTGATGCATGACCAGGCAATGTTTTGTTATGTTATACATAAGGTCACTATGAATCAGAACCTACTCGATAGCAACTAAAAAGCAAGAATACTACCACCTAACTTCATTAATTAGAAATGGAGTCCTGATGTGGTGCTGTAGGAAAATTACTGGACTGTTAATGGCAAGGTTGATGGTTCAAACCCATCAGCCACTCCTGGGAAATCCTATATAGGGCCATTATGAGTAAAATTTTATTAAATAGCATTTAACAACAGCAACTACAAAACAACTAACTCTGTGGGGAAACATGTATAAGTCATCTCCCATAAAGATTTGCAGCCTTGGAAACCCTAAGGAGCAAATCTACTCAATCCTCTATGATCTCTATGAGTTGGAATCAACTGGATGGCAATGGATTTGGTTTGGGGTTTTGAGAACTAATTCCTAAAGACAAAAATTAAAATTAAGACATTTACTTCACATGCCAATGCTAATACTTTTGCAGTGGCTTCCTAGTTTGCAGTGTAAGAACGTATCCTAGGATTGTATTCAGGCACCATAGGGTGGTGGTGAGAGCTAAAAAAATGTTGGTATCAGCTGAGAGTGGAAAGGAAGCATGGTAACATATGAGACAAATATTTCTTATCCCTGCAATAATTGAAGAAACTCTGGTAGCATAGTGGTTACAAGTTGGGCTGCTAAACTCAAGGTCAGCAGTTCGAAACTACCAGCCATTCCATGGTAGAAATATAAGACTTTCTCTCCTGTAAAGATTTACAGTCTTGGAAACCCTAGACAGGGTCACTATGAGCCTGAACCAACTTCGTGGCACACCACCACCACTACCACCACCATAATTGAGTTTATTAAACAATGGTGACCCTCACATTTTATATTTTTATAAAAGGAGCTCTGGTAGCATAGTGGTTACAAATTGGGCTGTGAACCGCAAGGTCAGCAGTTCGAAACTACCAGCTGCTCCATGGGAGAAAGATGAGGCTTTCTGCTCCCATAAAGATTTACAGCCTCGGAAACCCTGTTGAGGGTCACTATGGGTCGAAACCAACTCGACGGCACTTAACAACAACAACAACAAGGGATAATAGTAGTAAGAAGCAGTTGAGAGAATAAGAATCCCCATCCATCATTTCCTGGTCACAACTGAAAATGACAAACAAACATCCTAAATCCTCTAAAAAGTAAATAATAGCAAGTGTACTTAACAGGAAAGACAAACCTTAAAGAATTCTAAATTCAGTCACAAAGAGTTCACTGTAGATTTCTGTTAGTTTGGTGTTGTTTTTTCTCTTACTGGCTTTTCCTTAAAGGCAAGCCAAATTACTCTTTGACATGGAGTCAATTTCAATTCCTAGCAACCCTATGTGAAGTGCCATAGAGTCGGTTCCGACCCATAGCTACCCTGTATAGGGTTTCCGAGGAGCAGCTGGTGAGCTTGAACTGCCGACCTCGCAGTTCAAACGGCTTTGCAGTCTGGCGCATTAACCCATAGCATCACACCAGCACTCCTGTAGAGTGGATTAGCAACCCTATAGGACTGAAGAAAACTGGCACTTATAATTTACAAGGCTGGGTGTGGCACTGTAGCTTGATGCACTAGACCCAAGGTCGGTTTGAACTGCAAGGTCAGCAATTCAAATTCACCAGCTGCTCCTGGAAACCCTACATAGGGTTGCTATGAGTCTGAACCAAATTGAAGGCACTTAATGACAACAACATCTTTTTCAAAGGTGCTATGGTAGCGTAGTGGATTACAAGTTGGGTTGCTAATCTCAAGGTCAACAGTTTGAATCTACCAATAGCTGCTCTGGAGAAAGATGAAACTTTTGGCTCCAGTAAGATATACATCCTGGGAAACCCTATACAAGGCCAGTAAGAGTCGGAACCAACTTGATGGCACACAACCAACAACAAAAACCTTCACCAAAGCAAACTGCTGTACTTCCATCCCCTGTACCAGCTGGAGGTTTCAAAGCAGTGATCTTTCCTTTAGTAGCTAAATGCTAAACTACTGGACTCATTATGCCTAATTATAAACTAAATGAGTGTGAAAAAACTGAGTAGAAAGTATAAATAGTAAAAATACCTGCAGAAATTCATCATCCTGGCTAGAGAACCAAGAACAGGGACCCTGCAAGGCAAAGGGTAGAAATCCCCCTTCTTTTTTTTTCCTTTGTCCTCCTCTAGTCCTACCTCAAAACCAGCTCCAACACACATCTGCACTTAAGAACCTAAAATGTGATCCATTACTCCAATGGGATCCTTGTTAAGCAAAAAGGGAGGCAGTCACGCTGATATCTTTTCCCTTTTCTCTTGCCACTTTGCCCTATGACATGTTTGCATAGAACTGAGAGAGAACCCAATATT